TGTCATAATCAAAATAAATTTTCCCATTAACAACTAACTTATCTCCTACAAAGGTAGCTTTGCAGCTTTTTGTTTCCTGATTATATTTTATCTAATCTTCATTGCAGAGATAAGGACGTTTTCCTAATTATGTGTTCCAGTATGTCTTAGCCCTTTGAAATACGTCAGTTTTTCAGCCTATAGCGAACCCTACAGATGCGATCTTTGTCAGCACGATATGTAAAGCAAGTAATGAGAGGCCAGGCTCTGCTTCTGTTTGGCTTGCCAAGACAGTGTGCCCTGCAAAGCTTCATATTCGAGACTTCTTCCTGTGGTAGGTTTAAATTTCGGGTTGAGACATTGCGTACCACTAACCAGTGACAAACAATCTTTGTCTCTGTACTCATTGACTCTGTAGGAAATTAGATTTCATTGACAACTAGGTGACTATAGATGTTTAAATGAGTCAGCAACAAGTGGACTGTTTGTTTTCACAGTTTACGACACGTTCTGGAAGTCTATCATGTTCACCTTGGGTGTACTCAAGGGAATCTTTGGTGTTGTTCGATGTCTTATTTACTTCACAGGTTTTTTTTTAGGGCTTGTATTTTCATTTGAACTTCATTCAGCTAAAAATTTGTTCTTCTCAAATTTTTAATAGTATTATCTTTGAAAGCTGTTGGCCTTAGTATGAGATATTCTGTTAGTGTCATTTTAATGTAGTCGCCATCTTGGGCTGCCTCGATGGAATTCGTGTCGGTGCTAGAGCTGCTTATCCTCAGCCATTTTTTATCTAAATCTTTGTTTCCCATGCTCGTAACTGCTGTCAGTGGCAATGTTAGCAAAGCGAAAGAGGTAGAAAAAGGCAATATTCACTGTGTTGTGTTGATTTCTCAAAGCCATGCAGGTTTGTGGAGCTTTCAGACGTGCATCTAGCTGCAACTGTTCATACCCACTGTCCCCCCCTTTGTGAGTTTTATCCTCACTGTAATTGATGGGGGAAATTGCTCAAAAAAGTTTTTTTATGACTGAATAATGCCAGCCTCTTCTTGTTGAGGAGGAATTTTAATGGTACTTTTAATTTGTTTTATCTCAGAGCAGTATAGACAAAATTTTCTACCACTTTAAATTGCACACTGAGCTAAGCTGTGCCTTGGTTTGCAAACCACTTCTCAGTTTCAAAATTCTATATAAAACATTACAAAGATAGACCCCATTCTATGGTTTTGCAAGTTTTGATGTCCAGTAAGCTAATATTCGTCAACACTACTTACCAAGTTTAAATTTGATATGTGCTGACTCTATGGAGCTATATCTTTGTCAGTTTTCAACAAGTTCCTCTCAAACTGGCCACTTCACTGATTTTAACCCTCTGGTGACTGCAACATGTTTCTTTTTTCAGTGAGTGCAAGTTTGTCAGAATATTGAGACTGAGGTATTAGTGGAAAGATGTATCTTTGCTGACCTTTTTCACCCTCTTATTAGCTTAAACTGAAAGCTAAATGGGTCCTGGAAGGGAAATATGCATCGTTTCATATTATTGAACAAAAACGACTAAGCTGTCATTGAAGGGTTAAGGTGTTATTTCCTGGATTTTTACTTACTGTTTTTATTTTAAAATAAAACCAAGGAAGTGTCTATTGATAAATCATTATCAACAGCAATGTCAGTTCAGGTGTAGACTGAATCGTTGTTTATTTTTTTCCAGTATCATGAATCCATCAGAATAAGGAAGTTTGTGATTACAGACTGTGGCTGCACACTGGTGGTGAAATGTCATAATAAAGGAAGCTGCATTCAAGCACCTGTTGAGAAGTTGTCTTCGCTTCATAGTAATTTTATGGGAAAGCAAAGGATATTTAATGTGCAATAACGGCCAGAGTCAATTCACTTTTCTTTGCAGGTATATTTGGGAAATAGTGATTATTTAATAACCATTTCAGGTCGTTATTGCAAAGAAAAGGCTGTTATTTTGACAATGATTATGTGTTTTAACTGTCCACATTAATTTACTGAAATAAATTTTATGTCAGTCAAGTGGCAGCAAGAGTTGCATCGTGAATGAAAGTGGTGGTATTGTTTCAGCGGATTTGACTTAAGTGTATGAATGCTGCTTGTTTAGTATGCTGCAGTTGGAATTCTCAAGTTACCCTGTGTTTAGTTGGCAGCATTCATACTTCGTTTTTACAAGCTTGAAAAGGTCTTGTATTTTTGTTGTCATCTTAAAAAGCAAAGTCCGGGAAAAATACTGGATTTCTTTACTAGGTCTTGAAAAATCTTCAAAATTCAATACCTTGTCACACCACACTGTTTTCTGTGAAATTAGATTACCAGTATTTCGCAGAGGAAAATTTGGCTCATCCTTGGTATAAGAACCTGTACAACCCACAGGTAATCTAAATGTTAAAAAAATTTTGTACATGAACAATATTTTACTTAATCTGGTTCTTTATTTCAAATTCTATTTCTGTACCTCAGATACAACTTCAAATCATACCCAGTCACAATCAATTTCTATTGTTGCAACTCAACTGGAACAGAAGATTATTACATGTATTTTATGATGGATGCACCATCAAACCAAATGAATAATCATGGTTAAAATAATAAGAACTTGTTTAAGAAATCAAAAAATAGTAATAATCTGGTTAAAAGAGAAGAGAATTGATTTTTTCCATGATAGTAGCACTTCAAATTAAAATTTAAAGATGTAGTTACCATTATAATTCCATCTTTTGGTTGATAGTTAGTAGTGGCTATGACCTACCGGTAAGCCAGCTTGTAACTTAAGATATTTTGAGGAATATATTGTAGTAAAAGAGTGTATAGGACAAACAGGCTACTCTATTACATGCATGATAATGATTCAAAAATGCCCTTGAACAAGCTAATAACAGAAGAGCTGGGCAAGTAAAGAGGAAAACCTAAAGAGTAGTAAAAATAGTGGAAATTATATAATGGGTTGATTTTCAGTTGAATTATTGAGGTTTGCAGCTGCACAGCATAAGTGACCAATTGTCTGAATTTACTCTTCTATTAATTGTAGTGGGTAAACAAAATCTTTCAGCCATTTGTGCTATATGACTGACCATATGACAATGATAGTATTTCTACTTTCTCAGCTTGTCTGCCATTTGCTTTATTTTCTTATTTTTCCAGTGCCAGTCATTTTTAAAAACATAGTTTTGCACCCTGGGGTGAGGGGGAGATACTTATGTCCCCAACCTAAATTTCAAAACCCAGGCTGGCCAGTCATATGGTATAGTGGGTCTTTTGAAGGTGGTCAATTGTGCGATACAAAATCACCTTGCTGGGAGGAAAGAATGCCTTGGAACAAGACAAATGCGGGAATTTACCTTAGCTAAGATAATTTGGTTGTCAATCTATCGGATAAGTTTTGGTTGTCACATGATCACCCGTCCCTCCCTCCCTCTGTCCACATCACGGGAAACCAAGATGAAATGTCACTTTTTAGCTAGTGTGGGAGCTTGCAACATGATATTGCTCATCCATGTAATGTTGTGGGCAGATGACAGCTGTCAAAACAGGGTAACTGCTGACCAATACCACATGGCTCAACTCTAATTGGATTTCTTTTCAAGGGTTACAAGTTTATTGTTTAAAGTAAGTTATCAATGTAATAATGGTAACTTTGCCTTTAGCCTTGTCTAAATCTATATATATTACATACAATTTTATTAGCTACAAGCTGCCTCAGGTGCTGAGGCAAAAAAACTACTATCATTTGGAAATATACTCCTTTTCTTTAAAAGGATCAAAGGTATTTCTTGCTTTCCTGCATAACAGTTTTTGGCCACTCAAGTGGTATGAAACTGTTATACTTGCATGCAAGAAATGCACCGGAACAAACCAAACAAAAAGCTTGCCCCAATAGGCAGTGCGGGAAAGCAGGAAATACCATCGATCCTTTAAAAGAAGGGGCACCTGAGGCAGCGAGCTCGTAGCTATATTTTTTGTATACCCACTCATAAATAAGTAATAAATAAATAATGATTGGGAGGTAGCACACCCACAAAGTGGTTCTTCGACTACCTGATTCCTGGTCGATTTGGAATTTGGAAATGTAGGTTTTTGAGGAGATGGGAAATCCGGAGTACCCAGAAAAAACCTCTTGGAGCAAAGGAGAGAACCAACAACAAACTCAACCCATTCCCACGTGTTACTTTTAGATAATGGGAAACAAGCCTGGCATCGGCCATTCTCATCCACATGTGTAATTAGAAACCCAAAAAGTGAGATTAAGCTCAAATTGTTCATCATCTCACAGGTCTAGTGACCGTTTAGTTGTTGTTGTCCTTTTGCATTTCTTTTCTCTCAATAAGTTTTTCTGTTTTCATTGAACGTTTGCAGAGGGCAGCTCATTGAATAAAATAACACTTCCTTCCGCAGAACCTAAATCCATAGGAATACAGAAGCAAGTTTTCTTTGGAAGTCTTGCTCGTGTATTAAAATAAAAGATCTTGGTGGTTTTTCTTTGAAAACAAAAAAAAATTGTCAACATTCATTTACACCACTAAGGAAAAGTTGTTATGGGAAACTTGTTCCAGTGAAAGAAGCTGAGGGTATCCTCTTCTCAAAGTTGACTTATTTGCAGCTCATTAGTAATTTCTTCATGCAAATGGGAAAATTTGTCAAGTGTAGTCGCTGCTCGAAGGAAGTAAGCCTAGCCCAGACGCTATTCAAGGTCATGTTTAAATATGCATATCAATGAGTAACCCACAACCCTGCCAAGTTAAACAACCCTCCTCCTTTGCAAATGGGAATTTTTAGTCAGTGACATTTGAGATAGATATTAATATTCCATAAAAAGACAGTAATTTCTGTTATACTTTATTTTATAATTGATATGCTCCTTATGTTTTAAACAACCCATTGTAGATCACGTGATATTCTCTTTAGAGAACTCTTCAAATTCACAATTTTTTTGTAGACCTTAAATTTTGCATAAGTATTGTCTTTGATTTCTCTTGGGACCACTGTAATACCCAGGAGAAATTGGAAACAATGGTTATGCAAAAGTTTGGGGGGTATATTAAGGTGCATTATCATCTAAGTGGAGGTTTTTTTTAATTTTTATTTTATTAGCTTTGCCAGACAATAAGTTTGACACTACAAAAAAAGGGTTCATATATTCACAGGGGTACAAGTGGGGACACCGCAACAGTTAGCGCCAATTACTGCGGGCCCAAAGTGAGAGTTTGTTTGGAAATCGGGCCCTTTCTTACTTACCCTTATTACGATCTGCTGATGACTAAACGGAAGGGAACAGGGTTAAGAGCAGTAGCCACACCCACTCTTCCCTCTCCGGGAGAGGAATGGGGAAAGGGGTTCGCCATTGTAATGAAAATATATGTACAGGAGATAACACGCACGTTAATTATTAGAATGAAAAACTCGTCCTGGTAAATACCGTAAAATTCCGAAAATAAGTCCCTCCAAATATAAGCCCCCAAACTCGTAACGCTAAAAAAACCCTCTGTTAAATCGCCTCTCGAATATAAGCCTCCGGGGCCTGTACTTGGAATTGCCCTCAAATTGAAAATCAAGCAAAGCAAAAACTTGTACAGTGACATGAATTTTTGCATTTGCCAAAGAACTATTACGGGTGTCAAATGATTGCAGTCAAAAAGTCACAGTACATTGCTGTTTGCGTAGTCCACTCTTAACTCTCGGCTTGGATTTCCTCGTTGCATATGCACAAAGCACTTTCATGGCTGAGTTTTAGTAAGATCTACGTCCTCAGGGCATTAAGTTTTGAGACGTAAATTTCCTTTCCCCATGTAAGCCCCTCCTAAGATGATCCCCTCTAATGGGACTGAAAAATATAAACCCAGGAGCTTAATTTCGGAATTTTACGGTATGTTTTCTGTGTTGTCAACAGGGTAAAATAATTGTTAGTTCTTGTATTATGCAACTAGTATTACTTGTCAATATTTATCCTATAAACTATTTATGTAGTTACTTGCACAAATAAACGTTTAGTAGCCAACAAGCAGTAACGTCTTTGAATTCAAATGCTGTCAAGCCTTAAATTCTCTTCTGATAACCCTATGAAACGTGAGATATATGCATAACCGAAAACCTATTCTGTTTTCAAGAACACGGTAGTGCGGCGCTCTTTTGAGAATACAGATGTTAATAATGCTCCATTTTCTAGAACACGGTAGTGCTGCCCTCTTCTGAGTATATGTTTAACAAAACGACATTAACGAAAAACGGCAGTGCGGCGCTCATTTGAGAAGCAAGGTTCTAAAAATACCCTATCATCTAGGAAACAACAGTGCGGCGCTCTTTTGAGTTTACGGAATTTTACAAACCGGCAATGCGGCGCTCTTTTGAGTAAAAAAGATATGAATATATGAATAAATTACCCGGCAGTGGGGTGTGGGCTCCCGCCCAAACCCCCCCTCCCCCACTCCCCTCCCGGGAAGGGGGAGAGTGGGGTGTGGGCTCCCGCCCAAACCCCCCTCCCCCACTCCCCTCCCGGGAAGGGGGAGAGTGGGGTGTGGGCTCCCGCCCAAACCCCCCCTCCCCCACTCCCCTCCCGGGAAGGGGAGAGGGGTGTGGGCTCCCCCAAACCCCCTCCCCCCCACTCCCCTCCCGGGAAGGGGGGAGAGTGGGGTGTGGGCTCCCCCCCCCCCCCCCCACTCCCCTCCCGGGAAGGGGGAGAGTGGGGTGTGGGCTCCCGCCCAAACCCCCCTCCCCCACTCCCCTCCCGGGAAGGGGGAGAGTGGGGTGTGGGCTCCCGCCCAAACCCCCCTCCCCCACTCCCCTCCCGGGAAGGGGGAGAGTGGGGTGTGGGCTCCCGCCCAAACCCCCCTCCCCCACTCCCCTCCCGGGAAGGGGGAGAGTGGGGTGTGGGCTCCCGCCCAAACCCCCCTCCCCCACTCCCCTCCCGGGAAGGGGGAGAGTGGGGTGTGGGCTCGGCCCCCCACACCCCAGGGGGAAAAGTTAGAGTGTTTATTCCTTAAGAAAAAACTTGTTTGATTTTTCTAGCTATGTAACCAAACAAAACATTTATGCAAAGTCTTTTCCAGAAAAACCTTCCACTTAAGTCACTAGCAGATGTTAAGTAAGGGTAAGAAAGGTCTCGATTTATAAACATAAACCAGTAAGATATTCGATAAGTTTTATTTGGTGGTTTAAATGGAGAAGAAGTTACGATCACTTTTTTCATATTTACCCTTTTTACTAAGACGATAATACACGTTGTTTACCTCTAAAATTTAGCCTAACCATTGTATCCAATTTGTCCTGGGACGTGATGACAGTCATCCCAAAGAGAAATTGAAGACAAGGGTTATGCAAAATTTTGGGGGTAAACAATATGCATTATGGTCTCTGTGATAATGGTGAATTTGAAAAAAGTTCTCTTCTCCATCTACACCAACAAATTAAACTGCTCAAAAATCTTACTAGTCTAAATTGAGACCTTACTTACCCTTACTTACCTTCTGCTGGTGACTGCAGTAGCAGGTTTTTCTTGAAAAGTCTCCGCATGAATGTTTTGTATGGTAACACAGACAGAAAAATCAGACAAGTTTTTCCTTAAGGAATAAACTCTCTAACGTTTCTATTTACATTTAACAAATGAAAATTGTAATACTTCTTATATTTAAAATATGTCCTTGAGTAACACAACATAATTGTCCGCAAAATCCTCGAAAGGTTGCGGTAATTTAATGTTTTCTTTTAATGTTTTTCGTCCCCTTTGTGGTGTATCTTCTTTCAAGGTCAGAGCTCTTCAACTTCATTCAGAAGTACATTCTGTCTGAAAGAAATTAAAATAGAAATGAGACGAACTTTGAGGTTACGAATTCTTTAAAACAATAAATATAGTTCCTTATTTTTTATTTCTGAATCTGTGTGTGTACTAGAAAACACTTTGAGCTTGGTTTTAGGATATTACCCTGCTGTACATTTGCTTAAATTTCTAGCACATGTTTCTTTTCCAGTTTACAATTTAGGCTCTTTTCAGCTGCTTCTGAAAACTCGTCCATGAAAAGAAGATGTCAGCATCAGACTTTTGGTAGCATCACTAAGGTAAAACCAATTCAACCTACATTTCTACTTGGCAGATTTTTTTGTTACAGGTAAACCTTGTCGAGCGTTCTTTTCCTTTCTGTATTGTAGATTTGATTTATTTCAACTGAACAAAGTCCTCCTGTAATGCGTCTATAGGGAAATGAGGTAGAGTAAAAACATGAAATAGGTTTTTGGGCGTTTTGGTTCTCATTTAAGTTCACTTATGAGATAGTGTGTTAAACGTATAATACTGAAATTAACTGGAAAAATTGGAAAGATTGACTCGGAGACCTTGTGCCTTGTGCCTTGTGCCACTCCTTAACTCTAAGAATTGTGAGTGCGGTAAGCAAAATTTATAGAGAAAGACGGATTTTATTGTATCCTTTATTAAAGAGTAATTTCGTAGGCCAAAATAAAGAAACGAAACCTTTGCTAATGCACTTTTCTCTAGTATTAACCTTGCATAAAATCGCCTGCGGATACTAGTAGAGATTTCACCACGCAATTAACAAAATCAGTTCCAAATCAGTTTAATTCAATTTTACTGGAAGATTACATTCTTAATCCATGTAACTTGCATGGTAAGCCTGAAAGAAAAAACAAAATGTTGGTAAAATATTTGCTCGTTTATTATATTATACATTTATTTATTTCGACAACTTAATTTTGAGGGCATGAAAAAAATAGCCTAGCGTAGAATCAGCTAGTAAGCAAAACTTATGGGAGATGAGCAAATGGCGAGTAAAACCCATTGAAATAAAAAACTGATGAAATGATGGTTCGATTTTACTCAAAACTACTCTAATACTTCGATGGCCAAAATAGAAACGTGTTGCCAACAAAGAAAAGAGTTCGAGAATTAATAATGTATGAGAATACTTTGTTCTTATTTCAGCTTAACCTTTGTTGTAGCAAAACGTGCTCTTCTCTTTAAATATAAAAAAGTATGGTTATTTCACTTTTTAAAACTAAGAATTTGAAATTTTATAAGTGATAATTTATTTCACTCAAATGCATCGGGCGACATACTTTAATAAAAGAACTCGAAAACGTTTCAGTAAATCTTGGATGACCCAGAAATCGAAATTCATTGTTGCAAGTTAAATTTTTTGTCCTATATTTCCTGGTCTAACGTGTTGTATTAGATCCAAATTACAAATGTAAAATTTTTATAGTAACGGAATGAGTAGCGAGATCAGTTCAAATTCTTCTCTATTCTCGTATACAAACAAAAGAAATATAGAAAGAAATACATGTGCCCATTGTGGCTAAGATTTTAATGAAATAGGTCATTTACAGGATGGCGTCATTTTACCACTACGACCAGAATCCTTTTCGTTTTTCTTTTCATATTTAAATGTGGTAATCCCAGCGAGATTTAAATGACAAAAGCCGTAATTTGTACAAGAAAGGAAAACCCTGAAGGATTCTTGTCGTAGTAGTAAGTGATGTCATCGTGCAAATGGCCCATTCTTTTGCAAGAAAGCAGACGAAATCTTGAAAAACGCGTTACATTTCTCCTGGGACGATTAATGCATTCATCATTACTTTTTTATAACTGAAATGCAAAGCGAAGACTTTGAAACGTTTTTGATAAATGAATTAACTTAAAGGGATAAGTGGAAATAAAAAAAGCACTCCTGACATTTTTGGAATATGAAAATTCTAACATATATGACGACTTCAAAATTTAAATATAGTGACCAAGAAATCGAAAGATTATGTTGAAAAGTGATATCTAACCTTTTTATATCGATCGAATATACTAGTTGCCATGACGTGATTAGTTTTAAACTAGAGAATTTAGGGGTTTTCTGTGTTCAAACATTCTCGACAATAAAATTTCTTTTAACACAAGACAATTTAATAAAATGTGGAAAATGCATGTACGATACGATTCTAACTCTTCTCTGTGTCTAATATACGAAAAAAAGAGTGTAGAAAGTTTTAAATGTGCATCAATAAACCAAGCCTGCTGGAGATGGAAGCTTTGGTACGCAAAACACGTCAGTTCACTGAGAATAAGATTTTAATGAAATTCTTCTTGAAGATAGCAGACGAAATGTCGAAAAAGATTCCTTCTAATTCAGTGTTCCCACTCGATCTTAAGTCAGTTTATACTGGGATTTATTGGCCCCTCTAAAATATAACGCGAAAACCTTTATGATACAGCCTCTGAATTTATTCAAAAAAAGTACTCATCGCTTAAACAACAACAACAACAACAACATAAGCTTTATTTGCACGACTATTTGAGTTACAGTGTTGCAAAAGAAGTGTCATCAGTATGATTTGATAACAAATTATTACGTTAATCATTACATAATGAAACAAATTTCAACAAATGTAAATTTACAGGAAAATTCCGTGAATTCATCAATTTAATTACCAATTCTGTGCAAGATAGCTGATCAAAATCGACAAAATTTTGTTGGATTTGATTGTAGAAGTTTTCCCTTGGGACTGAATACTTTGGACAATGCAAGAGAAAATGAAATTCGTCTTCAATTATACCAGCGTTACAAACAGAGCAGAATCTATCGTTGCGGGTTTCTTCCAGTTTAAATCATGAGTTTGTGGTTACGTATATGAATTTTTGTTAAGTCTTTCCTACTGGTTGAATTTCTAGTTAAGTCTAGATAACTTGAAATTTTATAATCATGTTTACAAATGCTGTAAAATTGTAGTTTCGTAAAATGATGGATCTATTAAAAATTGAATAACGATGTAATGTGACCTTATTAGACGCCATGTTGTCAATTAATTTTATTTTCTGAACCCATATTTCACCGTTTTAGCCTCTAAAAATGGGTGTTAAGTCAAAAAACTAAAATAGGAACGTGTCTAATGAAATCCTTAAGTTGGCAAACATTGAACAGAAAATCTTTAACAATAGCAATGACGTAACGATAAAGTGATATATGATAAAAGAACGAACTGAAAGTATCCGCCATCTTAGATTTGCCATTTTGAATTAATTAATCCTATTTTATTATGATTTTGCATTATTGAGAGAATCATTGATAATATTAAATTTCATTTGTTTATAAAAGGGTATCTTGGGAAAAAAAGTAATCTAGCTACGAGTAAGATGTAGCCAAATTCTGAAAGAAGTAAACATTATTGTAAATTAAACTTGACACTTGTCTTTTTGGTTAGTTTTAAACTCATGTTTATCTCAAGTAACTGCCTAATAACCTGGGTTGCATTAACAGCTAAAATAAATTTGATAACGCAATTTTTTTCAGGCTGTAAAACATTGTTTGCCCTGGCGATGTTGATGTTGAACACGTCAAGAAGACTTACCAATATTTCCAAAGTAATTTTAGGAAAAGTAGCTAAGTTCAATTGGCGGTCATAACTTGAACAGTTTGAAGTTATTCAAGTTAAAGTTGAGCGGAGGCTCTAAAAGCCCTCCCAATGTGAATAGGCGTAAATGTAGCCAAACTCAAGGCTAGAAAGCAACGCTTTTTCAAAAATTCTTTCACTTCCGTTTTGTCCTAACTGCATGTCAAACGTTTTGAGTTCTAGAAGAGTTTTTCAACCTAGAATAGTACATTATCCCACGGTACAAGATTCAAATGTTTGAGATGAAAAAGCGGGTTTTGGAAGAATAAATCAAGAAGGATATTTTCTGAGTAAAACTGGATAAACTGAAATTATTTTGAACGTTAACTTTCTAAATGTATTTTAGATAACTGTTATAAATTAAGCAAACAAAACGAGGTAAAAATTTATGATTCCTATAGTATTTGTTCTTGTTTATAAGTTGGAGAGGTGCTTTCAACATATCAATAAAAAAGAAATACTTTCTTATCTTCAGAGGCAACTTATGTTAAAAAAACTCACTTGAAGCACAAGAAAAATGTAGCTAGCGGTACTTTTTTATTGGTCCAGTTAAACGGAATAAAATTAGTATATTAAACGACTTAAAGATGCACTCAGTTTGTAATCACGGGAGAAAGATATCATGATCCAATTTCTAACTAGAAATAAAATATTTTGGCAATAAAATTTTGAAAAATAATGCGCAATATTTACAAAAAGGAAACTGTTCTCGTGAATTGATTAAGGCCGGGATAAGTGGAATTCAAAAAACACACTCCTGACATTTTTAGAATATGAAAATTCTAACATGATAATTTGGAAAAGCATTTGTAAATAAAGTGACCAAGAAATCTAAAGATTACGTTGAAAAGTTTGAACTTTTCTTGCTGGACCTAACGTTTTATATATACACTGATCGAGTATACTAGCTGCCATGACGTTATTAGTTTTAAATTAGAGAATTTAGCGGGGCTGCTTTTAAACAATCTCGACCATAAAATTTCTTCCCACATAAGAAGAGTAAACAAAATATGGAAAATACATGTACGATGCCCGATTCTCGAATTCTTCTCTGTGTCTAATATACAAAAAAGAAGAGTGTAGAAAGAAAGAAATGTGCATCAATGAACAAAGCCTGCTAGAGATAG